CGCGCCTTTGTCCCCTAGGCCGCCCGCGGAGCTGACATCAGGCCGCCCTGGCGCGCGGGGTGGCTCGGTTGAATCCTCGCCTCGGTCTCCAGCACGCCCTGGTACCGGCCGAGAGAGAGGCAAGAAAAAATGCGATTTAGCAGCTGGTGCCCGGGGCTTGGCCTCCTTCCCGAGATTCTTCCCGCCGGCACCCGCGACGGCGCTGGTCTCCACTGTCTTGGGGGAAGAAGCGGCCGCACTGTCTTCCTGGATGCTGATTCCCAAATCCACTGCAAACACAAATACACACAGCCGTCATTCAGCCCAGCCCGAGAGGAAACGCAAGGGTGGGTGACGGACGACACCCGCTTCACACACAAATGCCACCACGCACACGGCCCGTGGCCAACACCCTGCAGAGCAGAGGGTGGCTGTCAGCTGTCCCCGGACCCTACTCCTCCCGGGAGAGAGGGACAGAAGGTCCCAGGAGGAAGCCGTGGTGGAAAGCCCCTGCCAGGTGCTGCATTCCCCAGGCTCAGGCTCAGGACCTCCGGCACCTCCGCAGGGACCCCTGAGGCGCACATTGTCCCTGATGTCCCCTGGGAGGCAGGAGCAGGAGGAGCCTGGGCTCCCCATCTGGAAGAGGCTGCTCAGCCTTGGGACTCCTGGCACCTGGGTGGGTCCTTTGTTACGGGGCCCGCCTCATGCATTGGGGTGTTTAGCAGCATCCCTGGCCTCAACCCACCAGATGCCAGTAGCGCCCCCAAGTTGTCACAACCAAAAATGTCTCCAGACACTGCCAATTGCCCCCTAGTGGCAGATGGGAGGTGAGGGTGAAGGACGGGGAAGTGGGGAGGGGGGCGACTCGCATTTGGGAACCACTGAGCTCGAATGCCTATTTGAATCCAGGTAACTTACCTGTCCTGTGCCTCGCGGTCTGGTAAAAGGAGGCGTTTTGTTAGGAAGATGCGTGAGTTAACATTCTTAGAGCACGTACAACAGTGCCTGGAACACTAGCTATTGTCAGGACTCATGAGTGAGGAAACAGCCACGGAGGTTACGATTAGAAATCTGCTGAGAATATTAACAGATCTCAAAAACGAAGACTCAGAAGTTTCTATTTTAAGGCTAGAAGAGCAGATGTCCACACAAGAAAGCAACTCAGACCCCAGGCCCGCGTGGCCTCAGGCATGTGGGGTCAGACACAGGGGGTGAGCTGCCCGGGACTGCCCCTTCTGCAAGGAGGACTCTGCTACCGGCATCCATTTATTTCACTTTGACCTATGCATTGACCTTCAACTGCCTTCTTCTCTAGGTCCCTGTTATAAAGCAATGTGATGTACCACACACTTTGGAACCACAGTTAAAGATCAAGATTTTCTACTGCTCAGTTGTATGGCCTTGGACGAGTCACTAAACATTTGGAATGTCCTCGTATGTAAAATGGGAATAACAGTAGCTCCCGTGCAGGGCTGTTGAGGCGTTTGAAGGAGAAAACTCTTGCCAAGGACCTGGCACACCACCTTTTCCATAGTGGGTCTTGGTAGTTGGCAGATACTGTGATTATTGTTAAGGTTTCTGCCATGCCTTTGCCAACATTGCTTTCTGCTTTATAATTTGCTGACAGCTACTGCTTTAAAAAATATTGATTTGAGAGAGAGAGAGAGGAAGGGAGAGGGAGAGAGAGAAACATCGATCTGCTGCCTCCTGCACGCCCTCTACTGGGAATTGAGCCTGCAACCTGGGCATGTGCCCTGACTGGGAATCGAACCAGTGACTTCCTGCATGGGTTGATGCTCAACCACTGAGCCACACCGTCTGGGTGACAGCTACTTCTTAAATATCTGATTGTAGGAAGACAGAGAGAAAGAGAAGGGGGAACTGAGGATCTTTTGGTCTGCTCATGGTGGGCATGAACATGGAGTGAGGCATACTACACACATCCACCCATTAGCAAGTGTTGCCAAATTCTAGTATCTCCCAGTGTCTACAGTCAGGAACAAACATGGAGAGAGAGAGAGAGAGAGAGAGAGAGAGAGAGAGAGAGCGCTGGATTCTTGTGCAGAAGGGCAGCCTCCCCATTAAGCTCCGAGGAGCACAGAGGAAACCCACCGGGGACCCATGGCAAGCACCAGGGTTTCCTCCTAAACTCAGACCTCAAGGAACCGCCTGCAGGAACATTGACCATAACTTCTAGCTCTTCTTAGCCTTTTCCCTGTGGTCCCGGAATCCATCATCACGGTCAATGTTACTCTCAGGGGGGACAGGAGGGAGGGGGAGCGCGGGAGTAAGAAAGTGATAGATGAGTGTGTCGGGTGCCAAGAAAGCCAGTAAGCGGCTGAAGTGTCAGAGTGAATATAAATGAATTGCGGGGCTGGTCCATGCCAGGAGAAAAGGAAACAGCTGACAGAAAGGGAGAGACTACGATTCAGAAGAAGGAAGGGCTTTTCAAAATGCCAAGAGCATCACTGATCTCTCTCGGTCCCTTTCCTCTCTTCCTCTCTCTCTGGCTGGAAACCAGAGGAACAGAGGCGAGTGCTACAGCCGCAGAAAACGGCTCTGAAAAGCATTTCCTGTGGACAGATTTTTTTTAAAATGTCAATATATTGCTTTGATCAAGGATGCATTTCCTACATCCCGGGATTCAGACGAGACTTCAATGCATTTAGAGATTACAACAGATGCAAACCATCGCTCTTGATATCAGAGAATGGGTGAAGTGTTTTTTGATAACTTGTGAGATCTAGGACTCCTTACATGGCACATTCCATGACATCGAAGCTCTGCCCCCTAAATTGGGTGAGTGCATACCCACGCCCATGCCCTGGAGCTTCTATTTCCCTTGCTAAAATGCTCACCTCCCAAGTGGGCACATGACCTGAGCAAGACAAATCAAATCCTGGGGGTTTTGCCATTAGAACAGAGTTTTGCCCTTTGTGCTTGGGTTGGCAAACAAGTAAGGGGTACGTCGGAGCTGGTGGCCTTGGCCATCCCTTTTTGGGAATGCTTGCCCACAGATGACACTAACACAGATGAAAACAGAGCCAGAAGATCAAGGAGCAGAGAGAGGCCCAAGGATAGCATTTGGACACCTGGATCCAGCTCTGCCTGAAGCTGGACTTTACCATTACAGGGCTAACAATCCCCCCACCCCGCCCCTGACTCACTTATGCCAATTTAAATTATGTACATACTCAGTGACTTGGAGAGAATTTCAGGGGCTTGGTCAGTACCTATTTCACTAGCCAATTAGTGGCAACCAATTCTCTCCTTGAAATGGAGTCTCCAGGCTCTTCAAGTCTGCCTGGGAGGCAGTTAGTATGGGAGGAAAGAAGGTGAAGAGAACGAAATGGGAGGAAGTGAGTTCTAAGGAGCTGGATAGAAGTGAAAATCACTTTGTCTTCTCATTAAGAGGAAAGAAATCCACTTGGGGAAATGAGATTACAGTCCTTTGTGACCTTAGATCAGTGGTTCTCAACCTTCTGGCCCTTTAAATACAGTTCCTCATGTTGTGACCCAGCCATAAAATTATTTTCGTTGCTACTTCATAACTGTAATGTTGCTACTATTATGAATCGTAATGTAAATATCTGATATGCGGGATGGTCTTAGGCGACCTCTGTGAAAGGGTTGTTTGACCGCCAAAGGGGTCGCGACCCACAGGTTGAGAACCGCTGCCTTAGATAAACATTAAAAACAAACATGTTTGAAAACATTAACTTACACATACACATACTCACACACACAAATCCAATCTGCGTGAGTGAGCAGAAGGAGATCCACTGGAACCCTGGCCGGGTAGCTCAGTTGGTTAGAGCGTTGTCCCGACATGCCAAGGTTGTGGGTTCGAACCCTGGTCAGGGCACATATAAGAACCAACCAATGAACGAATAAATAAGTGGAATGACACACTGATGTGTCTCTCTTTCTGCCTCCCTTCCTCTCTCTCTAAAATCAGTAAAAAATTAAAATAAAAACCCATTGGAGTGACAGGTTTTATGCTCTTGCAAAGATGGGGATAGTTTACTTGCGTTGCTGACGTTATTCTGGAAAGAATAAAATTCCCCTTCCGATGAGCAGAACCGAGCTTTCATTCCCTAGGAGGAAGCTTGGGAAAACCCAGCCCATCTTGAATCTGGTTTCAATAAAAGGTTTTCTCCTAGAGCAAACAGACGACATACCAAAGAGTTTCACTTTCCATGAAAAAAAACGTGCAGGAGTTTAAAGAAGATGAAACGGCATCAAGTACAGGCCGAGGGCAGCCCGGCGTCAGGAGGGAGGGACATTGACCTCTTCAGTGCAGGAAAGACACTGTGTGCCGGGTGCCCGGTTTTCTTTCCTAAGAAAGTCATGCTATCCCGCGGGGGACTGAGCACTGGCTTCCAGGGCAGCTCAGGGCAATTGTTAAAGAATTCACACTGTGGATGGGAAGGGCCTGGGTTTAACGCTGAGCCCGTCATTTATGAAACACCTGACCTGGTCAGGCTACGTCAGCAGTTCTCAACCTGTGGGTTGCGACCCCTTTGGCAGTCGAACGACCCTTTCACAGGGGTCGCCTAAGACCATCCTGCATATCAGATATTTACATTACGATTCATACCAGTAGCAACATTACAGTTATGAAGTAGCAACGAAAATAATTTTATGGTTGGGTCACAACATGAGGAACTGTATTTAAAGGGCCAGAAGGTTGAGAGCCACTGGGCTACGTCTTCTCTTTGTGCCTCAATATGATTATAAAATGAGCAAGGAAATCACAGTGCCTTCTTCACAGAGTGGCTGTAAGGATTAAATGACATGTTTCCTGGAAGACACTGAACACGGCAGGTGGTAGGTGGTGGGTATTCAGTAAACATCAGTTGTTTCATAATATTTACATATTATTCCTACAATCACCAGCTTACATTCCTAGATATCAGTCATAAAACAACGAGTTATTCCAAGGGGTCAGCCTACAAACCCGAGGGCTCTGGAAAGACTTTAAAAATAGAAATGCAATGCATTAGTTTATCCTCAGAAATCTGAGAATCTGGGCCAGAGAAGTTTCAGGTATGGGTATCATTTAGGCACCGAGTATTCTGAGTCAAACCAAGCTGCTTCATCAGAGTTCTAATGAGATATTTAAAAAATATATACAGTTTGTATTACAATATTGAGAACTTTGGAGGAAGGATTATCTTCTCAGAGGTCATTTTAAAAAGAACTCATGGCTGTGGCTGGTTTGCTAAATGGTTAGAGTGTTGGCCTACAGACCGAAGGGTTGAGGGTTTGATTCCTGGTCAAGGGCACATACCTTGGTTGTAGGTTCCCCAGCCCTGGGGAGGGGCATAGGGGTGGATGTAGTAGGCAACCAATCGATATGTCTCTCACAGGTCAATGTTTCTCTCTCTCTCTCCCCCCATCCTCTCTCCCTTCCACTCTCTCTAGAAATCAATGGGAAAATATCTTCAGGTGAGGATTTAAACTTAAAATAAAATAAAAATAACTCATGATTTAACCCCCTGGGCAGTCTATTGGTTTAAGAGGAGAAAATAGAGCTGAAAAGGGGACAGGCCACTGGTGACCTCCCACCCAGGTGGCCCCTCCCTGTGGACACACACACGGGAACACCTTATCGTGGGCAGGATGCCTGGTGAGCCCGGAGCCAAGCAAGCACTCGTGGAGTTGGCTATAGGGTTTACATGTTTAACGCTTCCTGCTGGGATAACCTGGTGGTGGTGATTAAAAAAAGAAGCGACCTTTGTTAAGAGATGTGAAGTAGGAAAAAACTACAATAGCAGAGGTTGGCATTTATGATGTGGCCCGATTAGGGTTTGGCCCGCAGTGTTTAGATTTTTTTGAATTGGAGAACTTCATTTGAAATTCCTAAAATCTGGCTTTCATTGCAACCTCTTCTTATCGGCTGAGGGATTCCCGCAGGGCAGCCAGCCCGGAGCTGAGTGGCTCCTTCGGTTCTCAACCTGTGGGTTTCGACCCCTTTGGGGGTCGAACGACCCTTTCACAGGGGTCGCCTAAGACCATCGGAAAACACATATATAATTACATATTGTTTTTGTGATTAATCACTATGCTTTAATTATGTTCAATTTGTAACAATGAAAATACATCCTGCATATCAGATATTTACATTACGATTCATAACAGTAGCAAAATTACAGTTATGAAGTAGCAATGAAAATAATTTTATGGTTGGGGGTCACCACAACATGAGGAACTTTATTAAAGGGTCGTGGCATTAGGAAGGTTGAGAACCACTGTTCTAGACGGAGCGATTCCAGTCCTCTCTGTGCTGCCCAGAGGCGCCCGCCGGGCCTCAGAAGCAGGGGTCTGAGGGAGAGTCTGAATCCCTGGAGGACATGCGAGAAAACATGGGGGGTCACCACCGCCAGCACTTCTGACCCAGGAGGTCTGGCTGGGGCCCCGGAATCTGCAGGTCTAACGGTTCCCATTGTGGCCGGGATGCTCTGGCCCAGGACCCCTCTGGGAGTCAGGGACACGGGCACAGCTTGCACAGTGATGGAGGGAGCCAGGCTCGGCTTACAGGGAAGGTCAGAGCAGGGGTTTTAACCAGGGGGCCTGTCTGCCTCCACACGCCACACTGGGTGATTTTACTCTGATGCTTTCATCTCATCGGCCGTAAATCTCAGCCTCCTCAGCTGCCCCAAACCAGGAGAGCTGAGAGCTGTTCGAGTTGAATTGTGTGCCCACAGAGGATGGAGTCCTCACCCCCAGTGCCCGTGACCCCCTTTGCAGATGACCAGGTACGGATGAGGTCACCGAGGAGGAAAACCCTGTGTGACCGCACCTTATACAAGGGGGGATTTGGACACAGAGACAGACGCACGGAAGGACGATGCTGTGGGGACACAGACACCACGTGGAAGTCGAGGAAGCCTGAGGTCCTAGGAGCTCACACAGAAGCGGGGAACAGCCCCCCACAGCCCTCAGAAGGCGCCACCCCTGTGACACCTCCAGCTGGGACTTCCGGCCTCCGCACTGCGTGACCCCCTTTGCAGATGACCAGGTACGGATGAGGTCACTGAGGAGGAAAACCCAGTGTGACCACACCTTATACAAGGGGGGATTTGGACACAGGGACAGACGCACGGAAGGACGATGCTCTGGGGACACAGACACCACGTGGAAGCCGAGGAAGCCTGAGGCTTCAGGAGCTCGCACAGAAGTGGGGAACGGCCCCCCACAGCACTCAGAAGGGAACAGCCCCCCACAGGCCTCAGAAGGGAAAGGCCCCCCACAGCCCTCAGAAGGCGCCACCCCTGCGACACCTCGAGCTGGGACTTCTGGCCTCCGCACTGCCCGACAACCCATTTCAGTGGCGTAAACCACCCGCTGGGACACTGTTAGGCACCCCCGGCGACAGACACAGGTGTGTCCAGGTGAGCCCGTGGCTCCGATCCTCCATCTCATTTCCCCGTCACCAGGATCAGCAGTCCCGGCCCCGAGAGGCCCTGTGCACTGACCTTCGTCGTAGAGTTGAACCGTGTAGGTCGACACCATCACGGGCGTCCCGTTGTGAACACAGTCCCTCTTCGACGCCACCTGCACAGACACGTGTCAGTATCAGTCAAGTCAAACCTCAAGGCTACAGGGTGCCTCCCAAGATGAAACTTAATTTAAAGGCCGTGTTTCTGGGAACTCCCAGCATTCCCTCCGAGAAATGCCATCTCCCCCCTAAAGACTGGATTCCCGGTACCCTGAGAACACCCCTTGTCTGCGTCTCAGCTCAGGAGCCCGTGGGCGCAGCAGGGGGGGACCCACGGGCGATGGAACGCCCAGGCTGACTGATCAGTGGGGAACATTCTGATCAGCACGTGACTCCGAAGCCTGTGAGGTTAACCTCGCCCCACCGTCCTGCACACACAGCCGGGCCCTTAGTCAACACACCTGTCACACCCAGGGAGCTCACTGCAGCCTTTGCCTGCTCCACACTCCCCTCATCTCATGCTGCAGCCTTTTTCCAGTTTTAGGGCCCTGACCTGATATTTTTATTTTCTGTTATTTATTGTAGATATTAAAGAAGATTGTGTGTGTGTGTGTACACACATACAGACATACACATATACACACATGGAAAGCAAAAAGTCACAATAGAGAAAATAATGGTATGTCATGTCAGTTAAGTAATAAAATCATCTGAATTATACCACTAATAGTTGACATTAATTGAAGAATAATGTTATGCTAAGTGCTTTGCACATTGTGTCTTATTTTGCTGATTCTGTTAGTAGTGTAAGCCATTAATAAGTGCAGAGAAAAATAAAAACAAAAAGACTAAACAGCAGCAACCAGCTAAAAGGTGGGGCCTTCCTGGGGGGACACAGAAGACTTTTCCTTTCTTTACATTTTTTTAAATGGTTTTCGTTGTTTAAAGTAAGCCCGTGTTCTGGAGTTTATCGTGAACTCTACCAAGAATTCACGAAAGTGAAACATCAAGCCCACGTCACCATGTGGCCCCGAGGTTACAGCCGGCTTCCCGGGGCCAATACTTGGGGTGCAAAGTGGATTTATTTGGCTCACAGAATTTTAAAAAAGCATTTTGGAATCAGTTGCCAATATTTAAAAATCAGGAGATTCCATCAACACTGTTTTCCAACTCCTGATGGAAGTAAGAGTCGGGAACCTCTTGGCAGTGCACATTGGGCAGAGCCCGCACCTCCGCATGGGCTCAGCACACGGCTCGGCTCCCTGTGACCGCCTCGCCCTGGAGGCCAGAGGCTCCCGGGCCAGACATGGACTCACCGGGCAGCTTAGAACCTGCTGCTGCCGGGCCCATCCGGAGGGTTTCGCTGGCCGTGGGGCCAGCCCTCAGGGTTTTAAAGTCCGAGGTAATGAAAGTGTGCGGTCAGGTTGAACACCCGCTATGAGTTTTCAGCCGTTTCTTCAAACCCAGCCTTCCATTCCAAGCAGGAATTCCCCCTGTGATCTGATCAGTGCTCGCTCACAGGCATCATCTTCCTCCTGGAGGAATTCCAGGTCTCACACTGACGCCATCTCTGACACCCTGATGGTGGAAGTGCCGGCTCTCCGCTCCCTGGCCACGGAGACCTGAGGAGAAGCCTTCCAGAGAAGTCTTTCAAAGACAAATTCCTAAATGAGTAGCCCCCTCCCCCGTTGGCTGCACAAGCAACAGGCGAGGGGCTCTGGCCTCCCTCCCTCACAGGTTCTTATGCACTTGGTCCTGGGTGGCCGCTGGCTCCTGGCTGATTCTGATGTGCAGCGAGGCTTTGAACGACGGATTGTCCCCAAGGCTGTCATCCTCACACGGTGACATTTGACCCCTGTTCTGTGCATGGAAGGACGTTTAGTGGCATCCCCGGCCTCTTCCCACTAGGCCGGTAGCGCTACCTGAGTTGTGACGACCAGAAATGTCTCCAGACATTGCCAAGTGCCCCCTGGTGGGGACGGGCAAAATCACCCCCAGTTGAGAACCACTGGCCCAAACCCACCTTGGAGCAGGTGTCACATGGGCTCCAGAGGGATCACCTTGGAGGTCCTTAAAGACACAGGATCCCGAGGCTCCCAGCCCTGCCGCTTCTGATTCAGGGAGTCTCTGTGGGGCCCTAGCGCCTGCGTTTTTGCCAAGCTCCGTGATGGATTCCGGAGGTTTCAATGCAACAGGACAAGCCATGGGGAGAGCGGGCCCATGAAGTGAGCACTGAGCAGGTCATTTATTCATCCCCCCTGCCTCCTGCCCTCCCCTCCCCCCTGTTCTGCCTGGTGGTAGCTCATGTCCAGTGACCGCAACTACTCTACCTCATGAGTGTCTGTTTCTGAATCGTTCTCTTGCTCTTCAGCTCTTTGGTGAACACTCATTTGGTTACCCATGGTTCCTGCAAGAGAGAAAAAAGAGAGAGAAGTTAAAATTCAAGACAAACAAAAGTAGAGACCTGACAGGTGACTGTGGCATGTCATCACAATGGCCTACATTTATTTGGGGGAGAGAGACATTTTAGACCGTTAATCTACCAAGTTCAAGTCAAATGCAGCCCCGGTTTTCAATTGCGTTTCATTTCTGGGGTAAATATTTATCGTGATGAACAGTGTATTCAGTGTGGGTAGCATTTCTTCCCTCTCGGTCACAGCTTTTATACCCAGGAGATTTTAGGATGAAGATAATTAAAGGAATACTTACAATTTTTAGCATTCTCTGATCCTCAAACTAAATTAGGCTCCCTGTTAAAACCCGTCCTAGCACAAGATTTTTTTTTTATAGCATTCGGCACTACTTGTAATTATATATTTAATTTGTTTGGCTATATTTTCCTCATTCACTGATTCAACAAATATATACTGAGCACCAACTCTGCATCTTATGCTGCCCAGGCACTAGGGTTACAACTATGAATTAAAGAGATAAGGCCCCTGACATCACAGAGCTGCAACCTGGGGGTGGGGGGGTGGTGGTGGTGGGTGGACAAACGATAAACAAATAAACAAGAAACCCACAAACCAGGCCATTTCTGATGACAAGGCAGCTTGGTAGGTGGTTATGAGCACAAAGCTGGAGCAAGACAACCTGAGCTTCAACCCTCTTTCTGCCTCTCGTCGCTGTGTGTCCTCAGGTGAGTGAATTAGCCTCTCGGTGCCTCACAGGAATCCTACGTACTAAATCAATTAATTCTTGCTAAGTGGTTAGAATAATGTCTAGCTCATAAGAAGCGATATAGAAGTGTTTGTTAAACAAAAGACACAGGATATGATGCTATGAATAAAATAAATTGCTAACATAGCAAGAGGGGGCCACGGTAGAGGACAAGAGGCCCAAGTAACGACTGGCCCAGACTTGGAGGGCAAAACTGAATATGTAACTTCTGCCCCCCTCCCCCAATACATCGTAAGAACCACGAGGGCAGGACTGTCTGTCTTACCCACCGTTGCATCTCCTGTTCTCCGAGCCGCATTTACACGTATCACGTGCTAACCATTACTTATTGGTTGGAGGGAGGGACGCCTCATTGGTAACTACCCTCACCTGGCATGCTGGGCCAGGCAAGCCCGCACCATTGCTGAGCCTCTGAGGCTTGTTATAATCACAATAACAGCCAGCAATTACTTAGCATGCTGTCCTCCCCGCTCTGATTTCCAAGTGCCTTTCCTGCATCTTCTCATGTGGCCCCACAGCACCTGTGAGACAGGTGTCATCGTCTCGCTCGGAGTCCCAGGAGGCTCCATTACGTCCCAAAGGTCACCCAGGTGTATGGCAGAGGCAAGATGCAAACACAGGCTGCCGTGCTCCTGACCGCTGGGTAGCTCCTCGCTTTATCACCTCCCTCGAGAGGAGGGAGTCGAGTCTCCCAAACCCACCCAGGACACGTGGCCGAGCGCGGGTCTGACCCAGAGTCCGTCCGGTCCCAGGAGTGGCTCTTCCAGCTGCTCTAGACCTGCTGCCTGGCTACCTGAACACCACTTCACACACCGCAAGCGATTCCAGCGGAGCCCCACCTCCAACACCTGGCCGCTGGCCCACCTGCTCTGGCGGCTTTCAGAATACAAGCCAGGCCTGATTTCTGTCTGAAAGCAGCCAGTGCACCTCCAAGGGTCCCATGGGCCTCTCGCCCGCCGTGTGAGTTTTTATGCCCCAGAAATTGACACGTCAAGTTGGCAGAAATTACTGAGGCCCGAAAGGGTCGTAGATCTCACCTCCCGTTCTCTCAGGGGATCTGGTAGATAACAGGATCTGGGGATTTGACATGCTCTTTAATTGCACCAGGTAATAAAGCTGAGCAGCACTAACACATACAGGACACTCGGTATTTCGCAGTTTTTCTATTTGTAAAATCCACGGTGTATGTAATCACAATAGGTCATCACTCCATCTACAAAGGGGGCATTATGAATATCACACTGAATCCTCAAGACCAGGGTCGGCACATGGCAGCTGAGGGACAGAGCCCGCCCGCAGGCTGTTTGGTACAGCCAGTGAGCTAAGTACGGGTTTTACATTCAGAAAGTGGTTGGAAAAATCAGAAGAATCATGGATTGCAACTCATCATAATGATATGAAATTCAAATGTTGGTTTTATTGGAAGACAGCCATGGAGGCAACTCACCTCTCCAGTCTGCCCACACTCCCTGATCTGAGAGTGTACTTTTGTTTTAATTAATCTCTGTGCTTTACTAGGAAAAAAAAAAAGGAAGACAGCCACACTCATCTTCTTAATTTTTTTTTTATCATCGATGTACAGCTTTCTGGAAAGCTTATCAATCCCTGCTCAAGATCACTCTGGGTAATATACACTCATTTTGCAAATAAATGGATTGAGGTGGCTGAGAAATTGTATGTTACCCATAGTAAGACTGACCAGGATTTGAACCCACTGTGTATAAAAATAATGACAATAACAGCTCTAACAACCATACTAATCAAATAGTAACAACAACAAATTTGCTGAGTGCTGTCCATGTTGAGAAACTGTTCTAAGAGGGTTGCTTGCAGTAAACTAATTCACTCCTTTACAGCCAATCAGCACGACCATTTTACAGATGGGAAAACTGAGGCTCCCAGGTTAAAGGTTGTGACCCAGGCAACATGCACAAATACACACACACCGAACTCTGTCTCCCTAAAGGCAGCTTTTTATACAACCTTTAAAGCTCCTCGTATTCAAGTTAAATTCAGTCCAAGTTGGGGTTTGAGGTTATGAAAATGTTTGAGGCCACCTATTGTCCAATGTCAGTATCAGCAGAAATGAATATTCAGCCTACACAAGGTGAGGTCAAAACGTCTGGGGAGGGCAAAGAAAATGCTTCCCAATTAAACCTTCACAATTAAAACATCAGTTAAAAGTTTAGCAATTAAAAGTTGGCAACAGAATGGCAAGTCTTATAATGCCCAAAAGCTAGTACAAAGAATAGAACGGTGACATAATCACATCTGACGTGCAGGACGGGCCTGCCATGTGCCAGCCAGTGCTGGGCGCTCTGGGTAGAGAGCAGTGTAGTGTGTAGGCAGGGATGTGGGCTCTGGAGATGAACCCTGAGCTTGGAATCCATGCCAGGCTTCATCCTGAGTACGTGACCCTGGGCAAGTTACTGAGCCTTGCTGGGCCTCAGTTTCCTAATCTGTATAATGGGGATAACCACAGCCCCCATTTTAAGAGGTTGTTGTGAGAATTAAATTAATCTATGCAAGGTGCCCTGGGAAGGGCCTGGCACACGATGATGCCCATGCAAGTGTTGCCATGGTTAGGATTATCGCCATCATTATTATTGGTACTAGAGGCCCGGTACATGAAATTCGTGCATGGGTAGGGTCCCTAGGCCTGGCCGGCGATCAGGGCCAATCTGTGGGGTGACCAGCAGTGCGATCAGGGCCCCTGCTCACACCTGCCTTGGCCTGGCGCCACCCGGTTGTTGGCCCCACCCCCGCCACCACCACTGCTGGTCATTGTCTGTGGGGCGACCAGCAGGGTGATTGGGGCCCCCACTAGCACCCGCCTTGGCCTGGTGCCACCTGCTTGCCTGCTTCACCATCCAGCCATGGTCCTGCACTTGTCGGGGCCCATTGGGGCCGGCATTGCCTCTACTGTCGACCACTGCCAGCGCCACATCGCCGACACCTGCCATGTTCCACACCACCCCCTGTGGTCAGTGCAAGTCTAACTCCCGGTCGGTCAAACTCCCACCCATGGGGACAATTTGCATATTAGCCTTTTATTACATAGGATTTTCTGTCAGTGCCCCTTTTTTTTTCGGAAAGCTCCCTGATGGTAAGACTCAACTGAGGAACCCACCAGCATTTCAGATTCTCACCAAAAAGCCAGATTTGGGCCCCAGAGCTGTAGTTTTAGCAAATACACAGGTAAGGTACAGTGATGGTGACATCTGTCCCAGGGACAAGGGTGTTCTGGGAGGCAGGACTTTCCTGTTACAACCAGGATGGGCTGACCACCTTATTAGCCTCTCCAGGACTCTGTGAAGTAAGGACTCTTTTTATCCCCATTTAACGGATGACAAAACTGAGGCTCAGGGCAGTTCAGGCAATGATTCCTGTGACGTTTTCTCAAGTCTCCAACAAAGGAGACAAATCAGATAGAGGTCTTCATCCAGAAAAATGTCTTCATTTGCAAGAGCTCGCTTCTATTTGGAGAAGGGCAACGTCTGAAGGTGGTGTCACATTGCCCCTTCTCCCAGGAGCCGATGGTGTCAGTTGTTTTGCTTTGGTGACCGTGGCTGACATTAAACATGAGCTGCCCTATGGCAGAGCGTTTTGTTTTTGAAATTGGACTCGTGTTTGAGGGCCTCGCATTTTGAGAACGTGGGGTAAATCTTTCTCTGGGTGGAGGTCATTCAGATGAGGAAGTCCCTTTATTTCTCCACTTCCCGGCTGTGTCCTTGAGGCCAGTCTTCAAACTGGGCCACACTTTAGAATCACCAGTGACATTCCAATCCCGTGCTCAGGCCCCAGCCAGACCGATCCCATCACCTCTCCAGGGCTGGGGCCTGGCATCCCTGTAGTTTCAAGATCTCGAGGTGGTTTCCATGACAGCCAACGCTGAGAGCCACTGTTTTGGGTATTTCGGGGTGAACGAGTGTCCCTGGCTGGGAACCCCTTGGGTGCAGCCTTCCCTGACTCACAGAACCAGGCTGGGGATTCCCAGATGCAGGCAGGGCCCTGGGAACCAACCACTTCCAGCCGGGGCACCTGAGCATGTCCCCAACCTTCCCGGGCACGCCTTGTTGGCCGGTTGTGTCAGCCTGCAAACAGAGACACACCTGGTCTGCAGCGTTCTTTTCTGAAACATGTGCAGGCCATGCTTGCTCCTGGGCAGCCTCGCCTTCCCACTTGGCTGTGAGAAGGGAGGAGGGCGTGGGTGCCCCTGGGGAGGACGGCGGAAGGGCTGCCTGAGTGGGGAGCACTCACCCTCCTCCTCTGAGAGAAAGCTAAGGCCTGAGCCAGCCTCCGTCGGTCTCACCATGATGAGGCCTGCAGCAAGGCATGCGCTCTCCGGATGCATTTGTCTTGTGGAAGGGGCCAGTATTCACCATGATGACAACATTAAACACCTTGCGTGTTTACTGTTGAGTGTGTCCTCACTTCCCTGGCCTGGGCAACCCCCCTCTGGGTTAGATGCTAGTATTTACTCAAGTTTCTGGTGAGAAACTGAGGCACAGAGAGGTCATGGCACCAGCCCAACAGGCCTTGTACATCCCAGTGTTTCAGGGAAGGTTATTGAGGCGGGCACCCAAGTGGTCCTGGGACAGATGTATAGATATACTGGAGATCTCTCTCTCTGTGATCTTATTAAAACGTTCTCCTTAGAAATGTGCTGCTCTCCGTTCTGACTCTCAGTAACTCACAGGCAGTGTTTCTCGAACTGGGGGTAGTTTTGCCCCCCCCCCAACACACACACGTAGACATTTCTGCAGACAGGTTTGAGCATCAGGACTCAGAGTGGGCAGCCACAGTGCACAGGATGCCGGCGGCAGAGGATGATCTGCCCCAAATCTCGCCAGTGTCGCGGTGGAGGGACCTGCTCCGGGACTGGACCTAGTGATTTTCTCCTTGTGGTGGCCCAGGGCCTCCTGGGACCTGCTTTTCTGAGATCTGGTTAGGGAGCCATCCCTGGTGATGAAACAGCAAACCCTCCGCCTGGGGTCAGGTCCTGCTGGCACCAGCTGCAGGCAGATGCCTCCGCTCCTGTCTGTGAAGTGAGGGCCGGAGAGAGGAAATTGCAGACCCAACTTCATCGGGCTCCTGTGAGGTGACAGTGGCCTTTACACCCACGATTGACATTCGCTGGGTTTACATGCAGGTTAACAGTGAGCCCACCTCCTGGGGACCCATCAAACAGCAAACCCGGTCCCAGAGGCCGGAGAAAGAGCAATCAGTCTGCAGCCGTGGCAGCGAAATGACTGTCACAGGGAGGGGCAGGTCCTCAGAGGGTGAATGGTGACAGAATTAGTCACCGAGCAAACAGAAATGCCTTGAACGATGCAATGGCCTGTAGGCAAACTGTGAGCCCTCCTCACCCCCCAGTGGAGGGTGGTGCCAACATGGCCAGGCTGGCACACGCAGCAGAACAAGCCCTCTGCCCCCATCTCCAAAGGCAAGGTCAAGGTGAGTGAAGAGAGCAGACCTGCTCCCCCACGCTCTGTGGTCCTGATGCTCTGTGGTCCTGCATTTCCCCAAGTTCCCCAGCACCACACCGCCAGGTGCAGTGGTACCTCCTGTCTCCTCCACAAGGGGGTGCATGAGGACTGACCACCCTGCATCCTGCTATGGGACCGCCTGGGTCCAGGGGAAGGGGTGCCTTCATTAAAACGGAACTGTGTGTTTTTGGGATACGTGCTAATTGATGTCTTAGTCAATTATCCTATATAATAAAAGCCTAATATGCTAAGTGTCCAGCTGTCTGGTCAGCCATTCAACCAATCAAAGCATAATATGCTAATGATATGCTAAGGCCGCTCAACTGCTCGCTATGATGTGCATTGACCACCAGGGGGCAGATGCTCTGACTGGTAGGTTAGCTTGCTGCTGGAGTTCAGCCAATCGGGACTGAGTGAGATGGGCCAGACACACCCTGTAGCCCTCCTGTGGTCCCTCCCAGGCTGGCCAATCGTCCCGGCCCTGATAATGCACCAGTGGGGTCCCTCGGCCTGACCTATGCCCTCTTGCAATCTGGGCTGATGGACACACCTCCCCGCCAAGTGCATGAATTTCATGCACTGGGCCTCTAGTGTTTATATAAATGGTTGATGCTCCCAGTGTCGTAGAGCTTACTACCTATTCTCAGCATTGCCCAAACATTGTCGACCTAAGGGCAGCAGGTAACACTGACCGAAGAATTATTGATGATGAGCCAGGCAGGGCCAGGATCAGGGAGAGGCCCAGGTGCAAATGCAAACAGACGCCCTCTCAGGGTTGGGCAGGCGCAGCCAGGGAGTGTCTCCCTGCTTTGCCCCAGGGGCCTGGTTGGCCTCACCCTAGTCCTGGCCCTGGGGCAGGCGTTTTCTTTCCATCAGCTGCATTTTCCTTGCAGCAGCGGTCACTCCCCATTACACAGATAAAGACTCCCAGACCATGATGCAGTGCCCTCACCCCCAGAAGGTGAACTGCGTGAGGGCAGGCACCTCGCTTGTCCTGCTTGCTCATGGTGAGCCCGCAGTCCATATTTGGTGATTAAGTGGAGAAGTGGTCCCCAGGCCAGAAGCTGTGAAGAGGCAGTTAGGGTCGGACCTGTTTCCACGTGACTCAGACACTCGAATCCTTAACCACTTCCCGCCCAGCTCTGGGCAGAGGCCAGAGGCGCTGCTGACACTGACAGTCAACAGCTTCACACAGGAGAGGACGGGTGAGCCTGCGTGGACTGGGCCCCCGAGCCTCCCCAAGCCTCTCCACGCCGCCCCGTGCACCTCCTGCCATCAGACACCAGCCTTCGTGGGCTCTTGCGGGCCAGCACTCCCCAAGTGCCTGCCTTCTCCCTGAAAAGCCCTCCCTCCCAGGACTCCGAGCGCTCGGGGAAAGGATCTTCCAGGACTTGGTGCGCTGGCTCGGTGGCCCACTCTCCTTAAACCTTAGTGTGCCCCTCTCTCCTCTTATTTACGGAAGGAGCAGGACTGCACACCCCAGGCCTGAAGCGGTGCCATCACAGCTTGGATGAGGTGAGGGGAGTGAGCCACCAGTGCAAAATGTAAGGAGGACCCAGAAAACTTAGTCCTCAAGGTGAACAACATATTTTCACACAACCTTTAACGAACCAGAATGAGTGCTGTGACTATCCCATCGGTACCTAACATGTTATTCTGCTCACCATAGATCTCTTGGCATTGGTTTAAAATTTTTAAAATATTGCCTTAAAGTATCATTTATTCTGGTGACTGAGTTTCTGGTATTGCTTAAGTCTGCTCCTGTGGGGAGTGCCTCACCCACGTCACTCAAGTCCTGGTCTTGATGTGACCTCCTTTCTGTGAGACCCAGAGGTGCCCTCCCCCTGCCCAGCCTCAGCTTCCTAAATGTAAGTGGAGAAGACGACAGGACAGCAGCAACAAAAATCACAGCTCACATACGTCACGCGCACACGTGTTCGCGCCCTGGTCCTTCCGCCCTCACGGCCTTGGCTTTGATCTCGGCACTATTATTACCCCATTTTACAGATCAGGAGCCTGAAGCTCCAGGGCCCCCCGCCCTCCAATCATCATGACTCTCCAGGCAGAGAACGAGGCTGCAGACGATGCAAGTTCCTGGAGTCGTGCAGCTGGGATTACAACCGCGAGTGTTAAATAAGGCAAATGGCGCAAAGAGCCAGGCTCGCAAATGACACTCAAGGTTTCTTCTCCCTTCTCCTCCCCGTCTCAGACAATGCTCCCAGGGACCCTCAAAGTCTGCTTTACCGTGGGCATCCTTGTCCTGACAGAGGTCCCCAAATCGCATACCTCACTCCCCCACTGCTGGTTACCCCACCCCACCCCAAATTTCACACTGAAAATGACCCTCAGTGGTTCTCTGCAAATAGGAGCTATTTCTGTTGCTTTGCACCTGGCACTGCCCATATAAGCGTTGCATCCTATGCAGACCTTTCCGGTAAGGCTGTCTTCGGGTCCATCTCACAGAGGGTGAAACGGAGGCTCACAGACCCCCAAGGCCACGCAGTGAGTCAAGGGCCCATCTCACAGAGGGTGAAACGGAGGCTCACAGACCCCAAGGCCACACAGTGACCCCAAGGCCACACAGTGAGTCAAGGGCTGGTGTCAAACAACCCTCACTGACCCCTGTTTCTGCAGGTCCCTGCCTGCCACAAACTGCAAACCCTCACGCCGCGCTCGAAGGACCTAGGAGAGCTTACCTGTTGAGTGCCTGGAGGGAGTGTCTTCAGTCCCCGGTGTCACTTGGAGCTGCTCAGGTGCAGGGCGCCTTGTCTGCAGCTGGTTCGGCCCAGTACCAGCTGTCAACTGAGCCGGCTCCTTGCCCTTTGCTTCCTCATCCGGAGCCTGCTGGCTGAATACACAGGCAGGGCAAACACGGTCTGGGTGGGGCCACCTGTGCCCTGACTGCCCTATGGCAGCAGCGTCTCTTCAATAAAAACCAACCAATTGATTTCTCTCGCTCTAGTGCCTCCCTGGCACTCCAAGCATCCCGTCCAGGGCCCCTCACCCACTGCGGCTGCTCAGGTTGACCTGGGTAGCTGATTCCTTCCCCAGTTACCATGAGTCATGGTCAGAGCAGGGAAAACACGTTCTGTAAGGTTTTGCAGTTTTGTCTGCCTTTCACCTTCATTTATTCCGGAACACCACCTCCACCACCACTAACCAAACCATTAGATTGGGAGGAAATAACATCTCACCCACTGAACTGCCCTGCTCATGTCAACATCACTCCCCAAGGGCTCTGGGCACCGGAAAGCAGGTAACCCTCATTGCTCTGGGGTCATAGCGTGGCATTGGAAGGTCAGGACAGGAGGTTTAATTTATTTCATTCTAGGTGGGGTATTTATTAAAATGTCCCACAAGGACCATGCAATACAGTCTGAGAGCATACATTAAAAATAGCTAAAGGAGATAGAAAAACAAAAGTGGGTACAGCAATGGGACGAGGGTCATTACACATGTGCATGTTGATTTACAGACTTGGTATGAAGATACTGAGCTTCCTAACAGCCAGGGCAAAAAGGGAAACATGGTAAATTATACTCTTCAGTGTTCTTGAAAAAACATGTAGGAGAAATGCAGACTAGTAATTACTGTGGCTTCATTCATTAATATGCTCATGCAAGCATCCATCATGAATACCTGTTGGGTACCAGGCTATAAATAGACTCCGGTTTAGAGAGGTGAGGAGAGAGGCCCTGCCCCCACCCTCCTGGTTCCTTGTGACTGAACACAGAGTCCTACAAATAAACAGAACCACAGAGTGTGGTCCCCACCATGAAGCAAAAGCCAAGGCTGCCGAGAGAGAGAGAAACAGGGCAAGCCAGAGAAGACCCCTTTCAGAATGCAACATGGAAGGGACAAAGTGGTATTTAAATAAACACTGAATTCACAAAGGGATGCCCCATAATGAGGGCTGTGAACTTGACTCCAGCTCCGTGCTGTACCTTTAAGCCTGGAATGTAATCGACCCCTTTATTACGCAGCCGCCATGCACACACACTGTGCCTAGGAGCAGAGGCAGAGGGGCTGCAGGTGCAAGGGCTTGGGCTCTGGCCTGGCTCAGACCGTCTTAGACCGACAGCTGCTCTACCCCCTAAGCCCCCGTCGCTGCCCTTGGTCTTGAGCGCCTTTGTGCTTATTTTTGTATCTCCGACCCCCAGCACCCTGCAAACCATGACAGGCTGTCTTCCCACCACAGAGCATGTGCTGGGACTACCATTCCTGACTGGACCTGCTCACTCTGAATTATTTGGGACAACAACCGCCACATGAATGGCATTTGACTCTTCGCGAAGCCTTTTGCATCCCTCCCTCTCAGCTGTGTCCACACTGTGACTGGGATCTTTGCACCCATTTTACAGAAGAAGAATATGGGGCTTAGGGATCGGAGTGACTTGGGCCGGGAGGGAGGGAGGGCACCGAGCAGCGTGTCTATTGCACTCTCACCAAGTGTTAGCCTAGCGGTAGTGGCAGAGGCAGGGCCGGTGACAGAATTTGCAGGACCAGGTGCAAACAAATAAAAAAGCAAAGTCCCTTATAGGAGAGGAAGAAGCATGGCTGAAGGCACAGGGATGTGCACACAGCTTTTCCTTCCTCCACGACATCTCTCTCTTCCCTTATAGGAGAGGAAGAAGCATGGCTGAAGGCACAGCTTTTCCTTCCTCCACGACATCTCTCTCTCTCTCTCTCTCTCTCTACTTGTCGTACCTTTCATTTGCTATACAAAGTCATTCTAAGAAAGGAAAAATTAAAATTTCAAGTTATTAGCATGAATTTTTTAAACCCTCACCCGAGGATGTGTTTTCATTGATTTTAGAGAGAAAGAGGAAGGGGGGTAGGAAAAGAGAGAGAGAGAGAGAGAGAGAGAGAGAGACCCGTTGCCTCCTGTACGCACCCCAACTGAGGATCAAACCCATAACCTAGGTATGTGCCTTGACCAGGAATCAAACCCGCAACTGTTTGGCACACAGACGATGCTCCAACCACCCGAGCCCCTGGCCAGGGCATCGGCATGAACATTACCATTCCCGTGTGCTGTGCTCTGCCGCTTTCAAAAGCCCTAACTCACGGGCAGACGCCCCGCACGCCCACGGCTCCTAGTTCCTTCTTACCAACACAGAGCGAGTGCCACACAAGCTGACCCAGTGGCTGTCATGTCCCCTCTAGACACTCACACTTCCTCCCGACACCCTCTGCCTTCAGCTCATGACGAGGGCTGAAGGGAGGGAAGCCAGGGATCATGTCTTTCCCTTCTGCGCCATGTCCCCAGCAAAGGGGCTGTCACAGGGCGGGAGCCTGAGTCGGCAGGGATCTGATACTGTTCTTCGGTTGCTCATGTTTCTTAGAAAGACCTTCTTTCGGTATCTGAGACACTTTCTGATTTGGACGGAAGGTGTGGCTTCTCAGGGCTGTCAGGGCCCCTACAACCCAGCTGCACACGTGACACGCAGACCCTATACTCCCTGTGGGGCTTGCTGAGAGGGTGGTCACCGGGCCTCTGCCTGTGGGCATCAGGAATATCACGTGCGAACGAGGCGGCAACAGACAGGGCATGTATATTATACATCTCTCCCCTGCCCACAGCATGGCTCCCTGTCCATAGATTTGACCCCCTTTACCCAATTCGCCTTTTCCCCAGTCCCCTCCCCCTCCAGTAACCCCCTATTAATCTTTTAAAAAATATATATGTTTTTATTGATTTCAGGGAAAGGGAGAGAGAGAGAGAAACATCAATGATGAGAGAGACTCATTGATCAGCTGCTTTCCGCACGCCCCCTACTGGTGTTGAGCCCGCAGCCCGGGCATGTGCCCTGACTGGGAATCGAATTATGACCTCCTGGTTTATGGATGGGTTGATGCTCAACCACTGAGCAACCCTAGCTGGGCACCCCCATTAATCTTTTAAATGTCTCCATAGGTTTGCCATTTCCAGAAGGTCCAATAATTGGGGTCCTACAGCCTGTTCAGATTGGCTTCTTACACTTAGTCATATGCAATCAAGGTTCCTCCACACCTTTTCATGGCCTCAAGGCTCATGTATATTTGCGATTATGAGCAAAGCTGCTGTAAACATCGTGTGCAGGTGTTTCTGTGGACATACGTTTTCAAGTCCTTTGGGCAACCACCAAGGAGTGTGGTTGCTGGTCATATGTCAGAGCGTGTTCAGTTTTATAAGAAACCGCCAGGCTCTCCCACAGTGGCCGTACCTTCTGCATGCCCACCAGCAGCGGGCAAGACTTCCCTTGCGCCCCCACACACACACCCCTCCCGTCAGCTTTGGGGCTGTCAGTGTTCTGCTTCGGGACCTTCTGCCAGGTTGCCCATGAGATTTACTCCCACAACACAAGTTCAAAGATAAAACTCTTCAAAACTCTAAAGGTGGTGACCTCGGAGCATTAAACCCCTGCAGAGCCCTGGCTGCGGACACCAGGGAGTCCCTGGGCCCGCACCTCAGGGTGGGGAACCGCCTCCCAGCACCCACTCAGCGGCTCCCTGGGGACAGGCTTCCCCGCCGGACATGCTTTAGGTGGTGCTCACCGTCACGCCTGCTTGGTTGGCCTCATAATCTCCCGGCTCCACGGCCTCCGGCCCGCACCTCAGGGTGGGGAACCGCCTCCCAGCACCCACTCAGCGGCTCCCTGGGGACAGGCTTCCCCGCCGGACATGCTTTAGGTGGTGCTCACCGTCACGCCTGCTTGGTTGGCCTCATAATCTCCCGGCTCGATGGCCTCCACCCTCTTCAAATATTGACGGACTCGTGGAGCTGTCAGCTCTGTTATCAACGGGCGCCCTGGGATCCGGGCTGGAGCGGATCGCTGTGCTGAGAAGAGGCCCCGGAACCTCTTGGACCCTGTCCCAGGCCTCCCTCACGGGCAGCCCCGCAGACACACTTCTTCCTGCACACAGGCCTCCACGCACTGCTCTTGATCACCGAGCCGGAGGCGCTCGACCCAGACACTTCAGGGTGGTCCTGCGAGCCCACCTGCTTCGGCTGAGACGGGGAATCTGTCGTGTCCTTTGTCGGTTGTGTGCAGCATCACTTAGCATTTTCCAGATCGCTCTCCTGTCGACGATAACATGCTCCTTATTAGAACTTAAGAAGGATGGGCAAGGAGGAAACATGGGCTCAGAGAGGACAGAGAGCTCACCCCAAACCGGGCCATGGACTGACGCTTGGGTCAGTCTCTCAAGGCCTAACCCAGGGCCCAGCCCTGTGAGAACCAGGCTCTGGGGTCACGCATCTGAGCAAGAATCTCGCTGCAGCAGCTGGTAGCTGCGTGACGGTGGGCCCTTTCTGTGCTTCCGTCTTATCATCTGTACAATGGGAATCTGGCAGTGCCCAAGTCATGGAGTTTTCTGGGAATTAAATGAGATAATTCACAGGCACTTAGCACAGTGCCTGGTGCATCATATGATTAACAAAATGACAGCCACATGCCCTGTGACTTCAGGAGCTGCTCTTCATGAAATGTTCAGTATGCATATATGAAAATAGGATGTGCTCCTTCCTGCACACGTAAACCAAAAAACACAAACACAGGTAATTCAAGGGACAGACATGTAGTAACAAAACCCACATGTAACCTAAAAGCTGCCTGCTGCCCTCATTGAATGCTGGTCACTGACTATGCTCACGTAAATCCCTGAATCTCTGAGGAACATTTTTTTTTTAAGTTTTTCTTTTTTAAAATATTTTTATTGATTTTAGAGAGGAAGGGA